TCTTTTCATTGTTTTTTGTGTGAGTGCTAAATAATAATCAAACTATTAATAATCAGTTATTAATAATATAGGGAACCCACAACAATTAAAAAACAAAAACTGTATTGAATATATATATATATATATATTCAATACATACAGTTTTTGTTTTTTTAATTGTTGTTTTTAAATATTTCCATTTTAAATAATAAATAATAACAACTGAGCTTTGAGTGATATTTTGACCACTCAAATAGGAAATGTCCCCGGTTTCCATTTCAGAAATCTGCTCACCTTACCATAAACTCCAGTCATCTATTAAAATATGAAACTAAGTTAATATATGCACTATATATTTAGTTAACCTGTTAACCTTCATTATTTAATGCGTGTTTGCATACATCTGTCAAGAAAAGTTATGACAGCCACTGAAGCATATTTTATATTTCAACAACAAATTAAAGTAGAAACCTTTGTATCACTGTGTGCAATTTAAAACTCAATTTTAGTGTTGATTACCATATCTAAAAGTAAATAGCAATTGAATTTTGACTAATTTGTTGCTAATCTTAACCTTGATCATCGATGTACCAACTGACAGAGTTCCCCATACTCTATGATTCACAAAATTAGATTGTTTTCCTAAGAAAAACATCCAAATGACTAAATATATCCAAGAGCTTGTGAGTCGTGGCAGAAACAGTGCAGTACGTGTGTGTGTTCATGACATCACTGCAATGATTGTCATCATTTAACAGTCTTTCAGTGCCTTTCCTACAGGACGTCTGGAGAACGACTCCACACACACACACAGACACACACACACACACCTGGGTGAGAACGAGCCGGCTCACCTCTCACACTCATCTACAAGACAAAACACCCGCTCGCATCACGCATGCGTCACTGCCTGGCTCTCGACTGACTGGCTGCCAGAAACTTACAGGTTGCCTTGAGGTGGGGGATTTTCTTTCACTTTTTATTACTGTTTTTCACTTGTAGTGGTGGGCTGATTCATTAGGAGAAAGTCTTGACGACAAGACGTACAGTAGCACAAACACCGATATGAAACAGCATCGGTCTGGAGCTCAGACTGGTAATCTTCAGACTGAGAGTGATATAAAGAAGTGGGAGTCTTCAAATAAATAGGGCTTTGCTTACGATTCATTTGGACTCATTTCTCCTGCGCTTTATTAAGTGAAGTCACAGAAAATACGTTTCCTGACAAGACAATTGGTCGAATCAAAACAGACACAATGTCCAATATCAAATCAACATGATTGCTTAAAATGATAACTGTAAAAGATTCAGGCACAGAAACTGCGCTCGTGAAAAATACAAATGACTTACTTTTAGCTTCTGACCAACGCTGTATCTCAATACTAGTTTTAGTGCTGCGTTCGACACTATAGTATAGATCATAAAATACTCTTAGATCAACTACAAAATTGCACTGGTATTCATTGAAGATAACGTCAGTAAATTATGGAGTGCCACAAGGATCTGTTTTAGGCCCTTTGCTATTTAATATATATATATATATATATGCTGCTACTTGGTGATATTATAAGAAAACATTATGCCAATTATACTCGGTTATTTATCAGTCTGGAGCTCAAACAAAACCTCTCAATGTGATAAACTCAGACTGTGAGTGATATGAAGACGAACGAGTCTTTAAATAAACCCTTTTGACTCATTTGGACTCATTTTTCTGTCGTCACCGAATGGAAGCACAGAAAGACAGAGTCTGTATCTGAACACTAGTTTTAGTGCTGCGTTCGACACTATAGATCATAAAATACTGTTAGATTGACTACAAAATTGCACTGGTATTCAGGGACAGGCATTAAGCCTATCAGATTGCTACCATTTTGTCCATTTAAACAGGGGAAAAAATCAGAGATAACGTCAGTGAATTATGGAGTGCCACAAGGGTCTGTTTTAGGCCCTCTGCCATTTTCAACATATATGCTTTATTTGATTATTTTCTATTATATTCTATTATATCCTTGTTTTTTTTAATGTAAAGCTCCTTTGAAACAATCTGTATTTTAAATAAATGTGACTTGACTTGCTTGGTGATATTTTAAGAAAACATGGGATTAGTTTTCTCAGTTATAAATCAGTTTGGAGTTCAACAAAACCTCTCAATGTGATAAACTCAGACTGTGGGTCGTACGAGTCTTCAAATAAGTCCTTTTGACTTATGATTTTTCTGTCGTCACCGAACAGACGCACAGAGGCTATACATTTCCTGACAAGACAACAGATCATCGAATCAACACAGAGACACAATGTCCTAATTTCACAGGGAAATCAAACACTAAACCCTGTCCGTCGCTGAGCTACATCATCATCTGCCTCACACCTTGATAAAAGTCTTCTTCATCTGAGAAGAATTTGCTCGACAGCCCTGACTCCAGGCGCTTGACATGTTTGAGCACCTCTCCGAGACGACTTAAACACCTGTCCTCTCTCTCTCTCGCGCGCGCAAGCGGAGGAACAGACACGACCACACCAATAATTACAGCTATAAACACCTGAGGGGATCCGACAGGTTTTGATAGTTTCCCAAATATTTCCGGCTCCATAAATAACTCTGCAGATTCGTCCGCAGGCGCTCGCTTCAAAGACCAAGGCCAAATGTGGTCTCTTATCAATATTTGTATTTTAATGCGAAGTTGGCGTGATTTAACCCCCGGCTGAAGGAGGTCTGAGCACGCACGCTTGCGACACGAGGCCATTGTGCCTTGAGTTTTCAGACCAAGCTTTCCAACGGCACATTGTGTCCGTATTGAAGTGGCAGAATGGGTTAAAGAGCTTTTTTCTTAAAGAGGGTGTAATCCAGTGTCTGTTACTTATCGCCGTCAGTCAGAGCCGCTCTGGATGGATTATGACACAAAGCCAGTGTTCGTCTATTGTTTACTCCAAGAACAAGCCCTGAGCTTCGACTTCAATCAATCGCCAAGACTTAGAGTTAAATAGACAACTCAACAAGGGATCCCCGATGGTCGTGTAAAATCAGCAGCTTAGCTGTGCATTGTGGGTAAAGAGCTAGAATCAAGAACACAAACATAATTTATAATCTTCACTTTTTTGGCACTAAGAAAAATCCTCGAATTTGGAAGACCTTACAGTTTGCTTTACAGAGGAAAATCACTTGAGTTCAGATGGGACTGATGAAAAGAGCTCTAGTTGTGGCATAAACACTAATCATAACAACGTTTCCCGTATATGACGTCCCTGAACACTCATATCGACTCACTGAACAGCATTAAAAGTTGAGAAAAACTTGGAAGACACTTCAAAAATGTAATTTCACAGCTATACGGGACTTTCACAAAGCCACCATATCATCGTCATTATCATTCCCACATATGCTTTCATAAAGGCACAGTAGGGTTTTTGTTCAGGTTTATGTGTGTATGTTGGTAAATCAGTGAACTTTCCAGCTGAAATCAGCACAAGATACAGAACTGGTCAAGAACTGGTGCAATTACAGGCTTATAACTACACTTTAGGTGCGTTTCATAAGAAACCTTTTCAAGAGCTACAATCTGGCTTCAGTTACTGTACACGTGTTTTTCTTCAGAAATATACTATATCCACACAATCACACGGCGAAAGACTTCAGACACATGACAAGTAAAATAATGATGTCATGCTACATCATTATCAAAGTAATCTGCATGATAATACGCAAGTAGACCTGTTAATTTACGGTCGACGGCATCAAGGTTCGCACACATGCACTCAAACACAACTAGATATGCATCAATGACTTAAAGCACCAATAATACAATGAAAAACACAAACGTGTGCATCATGACACTAAAACTTCATGAGAAGCGCATGCATTGCTGTAAGTTTGGACAGATCTAAAGCAATGTGAATGTCTACTGATCTTAAAGGGACAGCTCACCAAAAAAGTTAAGTATAAGTTTCTATCTTCTGCGGAACACAAAAGATGATATTTTGGGCACCATTGACTTCCATAGTATGAAATTGTTTGGTTTATCCATATTCTTCAAAATATCTTCCTTTGTGTTCAGCTGAGAAAGAAACTCATGCAGATTGAGGGCGAATAAATTATCTTTTTATTTTTGGGTGAACTATCCCTTTAAGATAAAACACAATTAGATATGCATCAATGATTTAAAGCACCACGTCCCAATAACATAATTTGACAATCAACACAAACGTGTGCATCATGACACCAAAACTTCACGAGAAGCGCATGCATTGCTGTACGTTTGAACAGATCTAAAGCAATGTGAATGTCTGCTGATCTTATAGGGACAGCTTACCCAAAAAATGATAGATATACAAAATTTGTATGAGATATTTTGGGCACCATTGACTTCCATAGTATGAAAGAAAATACTATGGTACCCCACAATTGTTAGGTTACTTCAAAATATCTTCCTTTGTGTTCAACAGAAGAAATAAACTCATACAGGTTTGAAAGGGTGAGTAAATTATTCATTTTTGGGGTGTACTGTCCCTTTAAGAGTAAACACAATTAGATATTCATCAATGACTTAAAGAACCACGTCCCAATAATACAACGAGAAACACCACAAACGTGTGCATCATGACAACAAAACTTCACATGCATTGCTGTAAGTTTGAACAGATCTAAAGCAATGTGAACGTCTACTGAGCTTAAAGGGACAGTTCACCCAAAAATAATTATGTTGTTCCAAACCTGTGTGGGATATTTTGGACACCATTGACTTCCATAGCCTGAAAGAAAATACTATGGTACCCCACAATTGTTAGGTTACCCATATTCTTCAAAATATCTTCCTTTGTGTTCAACAGAAGACAGAAACTCATACAGGTTTGAAACGACCCGAAATGATTCATGTTTTTGTGAGTACTGTCCCTTTAAGACTCGCATCAAAGGAATGGATGGAGTGGGATTCTCTTCTCCTAGTGTAATTACAGGCCGGTGTTCAGCTGTTCCCACACACACACCTGGACCGTAATGATCGAATCCTAATGGAGGAACTTACGGCTGGAGAGACGGGTCCGTTCGGGAGGTACGGCTCGGGGAGCATCAGGAACGGGTATCCAGAGTACGACGCCTTGTACATCCCACCATCGTGATGCTTGGGCACTGGAGAGAACCAGACCGAGAACAACAATAAATCTGTGAACTTGTGAAAACTTCGTCTTTATAACCTACAGGAAACCTTGTACACGTATTTATAGCCGCTCTTGTAAAATATATATCTATGATGATCAATCACAGATTCTCTTCAAAGAAGGTTTCGGTTCTAAAACACAAATAACGGAAATAGATCAAACATGTTTGCGATAGACCAGAAAAACTATAAAATGAGTCAACGGCGTATTTACTGATGCGGATTTCAGGTTTTCCCCAAGAAAAGTCCATCGGTTGCGTATCACACCTAGATGAAAGTTTTTAATTTTCCCAATTTAAGACGCTTTAAATCAACATGAATATGAAAAGAAAACACTTTTTTACTTTATGCATCGTTTTTCCGAACAAGAAACGTCGTCGGATTTAGCACATTTCCAGAGACCATTCTGTCTCTAAAAGCCACACGCACAGATTTGTGTAAATAAGCTCACACACACACACACACACACAAAAAAAACAAGTTTCTGTGTGTATGTGTGTGTGTGTACAAGTGTGTGCTTGTGAGTGTGTGTCTAAGTGTGTGAGTGTGATTGTGTGTTGTGTTTGTGAATGAATGTGTAAGTGTACAGTGTGTGTGTGAGTGCGTGTGTGTTTGTGTTTGTGAATGTATCCGTGAGAGTGTACAGTACAGTCTAAGTGTGTGTGTGTGTGTGTGTGTGTGTTTGTGTGTGAGTTTGTGTGTGAGTTTGTGTGTGAGAGAGTGAGTGTATGTGTATAGTCAGTGTGTGAGTGTGTGTGTGTGTGTTGCTAAGTGTGTATAGTGTTTGAGTGTGTGAGTGTGTATAATGTGTGAGTGTGTGTGTCTAAGTGTTCATAGTGTGTGTGTGTGTGTGTGTGTGTGTGTGTCTAAGTGTGTATAGTGTGTGAGTGTGTGTGTCTAAGTGTGTATAGTGTGTGAGTGTCTAAGTGTGTATAGTGCGTGTGTCTAAGTGTGTGAGTGTGTATAGTGTGTGTATAGTGTGTGTGTGTGTGTGTGTGTGTGTGAGTGTGTAAAAGTGTGTATAGTGTGTGTGTGTGTATAGTGTGTGTGTGTGTATAGTGTGTGTGTGTGTGTGTGTGTGTGTGTGTGTGTGTGTGTGTGTGTGTGTGTGTGTGTGTGTGAGTGTGTGTGTGTGTGTGTGTGTGTAAGTGTGTAAGTGTGTGTAAGTGTGTAAGTGTGTGTATAGTGTGTGAAGTCTCACCGTCGTCCAGATGTTCTCGTTTATCCGTGTAGATCCTCTGATCCTCCTGCTGTCCTCTTCTGATCACCTGCTCATTACAAACACACTTTATTTTACTCACACGAACATCATCCACAACACACGCACACTCACACACACACACACACACACACACACTTACGGCAGGGTGCGTGTTGTTCTGGCTGATCTCGGACTCGTTGACCAGAGATGACTTGAGATCGGCCAGGTCTCTCTCCGTGAACGCGCTCTCGCGGATCTTCTCCTCGTGATCTCCTCCTTCATCTTTAAACGCGATCATCTCATCATTCGCCCCGAGATCATCTCCTCCTCCGCCGTTCAGCTGCGGCATACTGTACTCTACCAGACAACTTTATTAATCTACTTCTGAGTGTTGTTGTCGTCGTTGTTTAGCGCGCTCGGATGAGCGTTTGAGACCCGCGCGAGAGAGGAAAACTTCTGTGTGCTGTGACGATCCGCGCGCGACTTGAAAGTAACAAACAGTCGCGCTTTTAGAACAGCAAAGATCAAAGAGTCCGACGCGTGATTGACAGCTGAAATGAGCCGGGTGGGGGGAGGGTGGGGGGGGTTCTTAAAGGGACACGACACTTTTGAGTTTCAGAGCTTTTTTGATGTAGAGCGTAAGAAACTATTATATACGCACGAATAAAATGCACACAAAAAATGGAGAGGGATGTAAGTGATGAATATTTTAGACCATCCCAATCATTAAATATACAGTGAGAATTAGCGCGTAAATGAGAGAGTTGATTGAGGTAAAATGAGCCAGAAAGAACCGATCATCAAAGAGTTTAGTGTGTTTTTAGCGATCGAGCAATAAACCAAGAGAAAGAGCTCCAGTTTCCCTTGAGAAGAATTTCTTGAAGTTAGAAGAGATTTTCTCTTTTTTAATATGGTTTAATGGCTTTTTTTTTTTTTTTTTTTTTTTTTTGCATGTTTATATTGGCAAAGTATTAATAAAAAGTCAATAAAATTGGGGGGCATCACAATATTTTTATATAATTTATGTTATTATAAAATTATAAATATAATTTTAGAAGAAGTATGTAATATAAAAATATTCTGAATGTATTGAAAAAGCCTGTATATCAACGCTAGACCTGTGTTTTATTACATGTTACTACAACTAAAAGTTACTACACACAATAATGGCATATAAATGCATGTGCTGATCAGAATTGGTGGAAAGTAGGACGTTGTTTGTAAAGCACAGAGCGATCACCTTCTTGTGCATGACTTATCTTTTACTTTTGACTCTTTTTCAGTGTTGAGTTTTAATTTGGTAATAATATTAATAATGATGACTTCCTTCATTCCTTCCCATGCTGTGCAATAATATCCGAGTACATTTACCGTCATGATCTACAGCTGGGAATAAGAATTAAATACAAACAAAAATGTGCCTGATATTTGCATAAGGCTGCATATTTATACAATATCTTCCATGCATATTAATAAATGGATTAAAAATGGCCTGTTTAATGCATGCAAATCTAAATTATAAATGAGACCTTGTTTATTTGCCTTGATTAAATATAGACAGCTGCTGATCATGAAGCAGTTTTCCCACATCATTTTCCTAATGATTCTCAGTGTTTTCCTGAGCTCATATTTGCATGCCGTCAGTCGGACAGAGGGAGTCAGATTTAGGGATTTTTCCCCTCAGCTTGGCCTAGATCATTTCTTTATCTTTTGCACAGACTTCAAATGTCAGAAGTGTAGGCTATAATTTACCATTTTCGAACAAAGCCACAAGGGCAGGAAGCGCAAAACTAACACGTTCACGGAGCAAAAGTTGTTGGTTTATATATGTTTGCGAGAATCTGGATGTCTTGCACATACGATATCGTCTCAAAACCTCATCATCATCTTTATCTTTCACTATAAGTCCAGTTTTTGATATTTATACGGGAGCTTTCGAGTTAAAAACACAAGCATTTCCATGCGAGTGCGACAGAACAACACCATCAGGCTGCGTTTCAAGCTTTGATGGTTTCCATGATAAATGCAGTTCCTAAAAATTACATACTGTGCTTCCTAAATAATCTCCAGGCGCATTTAAGTAGCAAACTAATTAAATCACATCCTTAAACTGAGGTCGAGCCACATGTGAAGAGCCGGGCGCGCTCCCGCCGCGGAGCGCTTTATTGGCCGCGCCCTTCAGGCCCAGTTTCCATGATGTTTCTGAATTATTAAGAAACAGGATGATTTTATTGAGGATCATATTCTCCATCATGCTGCTCGTGTGTCAGGTGTGTGTGTGTGTGTCTTTGGTGTTGATGTCGATGAACTTCATGTCTTGGTTATCACAGGGGTCGTCGGTGTCACACTGTCACATGTTGCAGAGAGAGAGAGAGAGAGAGAGAGAGAGAGAGAGAGAGAGAGAGAGAGAGAGAGAGAGAGAGAGAGAGAGAGAGAGAGAGAGAGACCTGCTGTTGTAACCTCTCTCTCTCTCTCTCTCCTTCTCTCTCTCTCTCTCAGGATTAAAGATTAAAGTTTAAATATTCGAATAGCTTTATCGGCTACATGGTGAAAGAAATATTTACATTACCAAAGCATTATAATAACACTGTACAATAAAAAATAAATAAATAATTAAGAATAAAATAATAAAAATGACAAAAAAGTAACATGAAAATAAACATAGCAATCATTTTTTTAATCTCCTCATATTAATAACAGTGTTATAAATATTCTCTCTCTCTCTCTCTCTCTCTCTCTCTCTCTCTCTCTCTCTCTCTCTCTCTCTCTCTCTCTCTCTCTCTGGAAACAAAGGGGCTTGTTAATGCAGAGACTTGCCTGAGCCTTTGATGTGAAGCACAACCATTCAAACCTCTCTCTCACACACACACAAACACACACACACACACCGATATACCCTCATCTGCACACGCGCGCATAACACATTAATGAAAAAGCATAATCTGTCTGTGTTTCTGCCTGTGTGAAGCGAGTCGCGGGTTCTATTTTAAGACTCGCGAGATCGGCGCGAGCGGCGCGTGCGGGAGCGCGAGCACGAGCTGCACTTCTGCAGCTTTACCTCAGTGGAAACTTCAGTTTAGAGCAGCGTTCGCTAACTCCGGCGTTCTGTGCGTTCACAGGAACACTGTTCTCAACTTTTTCCATGCACAAACTTTTTTGGTTTGTTTTTTAATGGAAAAAGTGTTTAATTCACTGGTAACACTTTAAGGTTCATTAGTTAACACTAAATTATGAACTAATAATGACTTATACAGTATTTATTAATCTTTAATGTTAATTTAATAATTGAAAATCTTGTTAACATTAGTTAATGCACTGTCTAACAAATGTCGGTAACACTTTATTTTACAGTGTCCTTGTTGCATATGTTACATAGTAATAGCAGTAAATTATGCATAATTACATGCAACTAACCATCAACCAAACCCTGTTAATTAATATTAGTACTTAAACACTGTAACAATGACACCTTAACATAAAGTTAGTTCATGTTAGTTAATACATTCATTAATGTTAATGTCTTTTTGTAAAGTGTTACCAATTCACTCTTCCTTTAGTGTTTAATTTTACAAAGTAAAATACTAAATCAAGTCCTTTCCCTTATTAATTATACAAATTATAATAATACTTCCTGAAATCAATTCACAGCGCCAAAACTCTTTATTGTATAAAAAAAACACGAAAATGTATTAAAATCCCCATGAACAATAAGCAAGCACTGGAAGAAATACTGTGACAGATTAATGATGTTATTTTGCACAATTACAGGGTTAAAGTTGCATTGTTATATTTGCATTTATCGTTCTTCCTCTGCTTTTCCCTTTATCACCAGAACACAGCTGAGAACGGAAAGCAGCGGCTTTAAATTAAACGTAATATTTTTAGCATGAAAGTATAATTACAAACTTTTGTAGCAGAAGTGTCAGTCATGTAATGATCAGAAAGAGCTTTAATGTCAAGCATCTTTACAAACATGAGCTGTAAAACAAGAATATAACACCATCATAAAGAATAGAGCATATAATACACAACTTATAGAAAATTAATGTATTGACAGATTTATGAAAGCACTAGATGTCCAGTTATGTGCACATTTAAACCCTAAGAAAAGTCTTTACAAACGTGCACTGATAAAAATGATTTTGTGGTGAAGTAAATATGCAGAAAACAACAAGTTAGTTCAGGCGAGGATTAATGAATGAGGCTTTCCAGCTGTGTTTACATCTTCTGTTGGATTAGAAGAAAATGGCCATTTTGTGACATTTGGAGTTTATTTTCTACTCAAAATGACATTCAAGCACACAAACGACCCATCAAATGTTACCGTCACTGTGTATTGAGGTTTCTGCGTTTATTTGACATGTGACTTCTGACATGTAATGGTGTCTCACACAATCCCTAGAGTAAATGAAGAGAGTAAAAGTGTGGTTTAATTCAATGTTATGTTGATTGAGTGAAATGTAAACTAAATAGATATTGCTCCACCTTTCACTAGCCAAGTTAAAATGTCTTATTTTCTTTGTTACTTTAACTTACTTAAAAAATATTCGTGCAAAAACTTGCAAAAGAAAAATTAAGTACATTTTACATATTGTTTTTTTCAGTGTGACAGAAATATGGAGGAAAACATTTTATTTAGATGATGAATTGCAGTTGTGATGTATAGAGTTACAGGAAATCTGAGAATGAAACGTGAGACTGAACTTCTCCTGTTGGTTTCTCACTTTTTTCAAACAAACAGAAATGCAGAAATCATGCTCTGTTGTTTTACGGACTGTATAAAGTATTAATATCAGTGTGACAGCAGAAATGAAGCTGCTTCAGATTCAGATTCAGTGGAGTAATCCCTCTTATATGGAGGAGCAGGATTGTGGAGAAGCTTTACGGCTCTTGCGGGATTCATATGTTCACTATGAAAACTTGAGATGGTGTGTGTGTGTGTGTGTTTGTGTCTGAGAATCACACACACACACAATCTCAAGGTTTCATAGTGAACATATGAATCCCCAAAGACACACACACACTTCTCTCTCAATGAAGTGAATGAAGCATCGCCACATCATTAAAGCCTCTTATGGCATCATACACCCATAAGGATTAACGTGCATGCGCTTGATAGAGGCATAATGCACAACAATGAACAATAAAAATCACTTCAGGCTTTATTTATAGTGAACTACTGTACAACAGCGCATGACACACACTCAGTGCCGCATCACCATCAGCTCCATGCACACGCAAATATGCTTTAAAATGATGCAAATGTTAGCATAGAGTATTATAAACGAATATGATACATGTGTGTGTGTGTGTGTGTGTGTGTGTGTGTGTGTGTGTGTGTGCATTATTTCCATGTTTATTGTTTTTTTATATCCTATGCATTTGAGTGGCAATGCACCAGTACACAAGCATTTTTAATTTAGTTGTATAAATCCCAATGAATGCATTCAGTTCAAAAGTGGTTTTCAAAT